TGATGACCCCCCACTGGACTTAGCAGGAATCTCCCCTTGCGTGATGACCCCCCACTGGACTTAGCAGGAATCTCCCCTTGCGGGATGACCCCCCACTGGACTTAGCAGGATATCCCTTTTCAGGAACTCACTTCTCCTGGCAACATGTCCAGAGTAGGTGAGATGAAGTCTCGTCATCCTTGTTTCTTAGGAATATTCTGACTGTATGTCTTCCAAGAGAGATTTGTTTGCTACCCCTTTGTTCCTTGTCTATCTTAGACTGGAAATGTCACTGGAACCTGTCCACCATGGGTGACTCTGCTGATAGTTGAAAGACTGCAAGGAATGGCTTCCAGCATTGTAACAACATGCAAGCCATCATAGAATGATTAAGGGACAGATGAATGATAGGAGTATAATTTAATTAACAATTGTGTATACTTTATTAGAGAATCCTGGCCAACACACATTTTGGTGCCTCATGTGTTAGACTTGTTTCTGGGCAGATTTAACCTTCTGATTATAAAAAAATTGCACTAGCATTCCCCTATGAGCTCTAGTTGTTAAGATGCAGAACATATACACCCTTCACTCTGCTTGCCTGTTAAAAAACATCAGGATATTTAATATAGTGTTGACTAGTCCAAGATAGAGGAAGTACACACCGGCTTTATTTAAAGGAATTTATGTTATACTAAATATTTAGGTCAAGTTATACTGCACGTGGTATCCTTTGATCCCAAGATACATCTGAAAAGTGAAAATTACATGAACTTGGCATTTTCTCCACCTATCACTTCACCTTTATTAGGAACTGAATAGCAGGCAGTTCCAATTTGTTGCACTGTGGGCGGTGCACTGGCCTGCTCACCACAAGGTCTGATTTGGGAGCCCACTGACCGCTCTTCAAGCGAGAGAGGAGGCTTTCCGCTCCCATACAGATGTACAGCCTCAGAACCCCTCGAGAGCAATTCTACTCTGTCCGATGGGGTCACCATGACCTGCAATGGACTGGTGGTGAGTTTGGTGTAATACATAGAGATTCAAATGTTCTGAAACCTAACATGGGTCTGGTAGCATCAAACTCCTCTATTAAAATTAAAATGTTCCAGTCTTGTTAGAAGATAGCACAACTGTGCACAGAAAATCTTAAAAAGAAGAGTTACAACATATCAGCCTGTGTGATCACGAGGTGTCGAATGGATCACTGAAGACAAATGGTACATAAGCAAATGTGGTGAAGAAAGCTGATGGTGCCCGGCTATCAAAAA